TTCTTCAATGCCACCCAATGAGAAACAGATCGCACAACGAGATATGTTGTTATTATTTACATCATAAGCCGCCAGACCCTTATGCCCTTATTTTCTTCTAAGGGGGAGGTAAGGGTTGGGAATTTTCTGGGACACGACATTTTTTTCTCTCACATTTCGGTTGAGCACAAATTTTTTTTGGTGGGCAATAGCTTGTGCTAGTTTTTTTCTTTTAAACATAAAAAAAAAAACAAAATAATGATAGTAGAAGCACCTTGTGGCTCCCTTTCACGATATTTTGTTAGTTTTTGCTGTGCAGGATTTTTTTTTTGGAAATTGCCCAGTCCCCCCTCCCCCCTAAAATATAATCTGTCCCTAATAAACATTTGAGGAAAGATACACTGCTCTAGTTGTTTGGAATCAGGCTCAACAAATGTCTTCATGAAGGATAAAAAGAACATAAGATAATTTTAATTCTTACTAGGGGTTGTCAAAACTGAAGTCTCTTAATCTGAGTTTATAGTGAATGAAGAAAATTCTCAGCAAATCAACAAGATAAAGTAATGTTTTATTCAACAACGTAGCATGAAGTATATCAAAGGCGTTCAAAGGCGCCACAGCTTTGAACAACTTTGATCCTACATCATGTCATGTCAAAGGTCAAATATGGTCATATCCTGCGACTCCTCTTTAAACGCCCTAATAACCTGCATTTTCGTATTTTTTTTCTGTCTTAACAATTAAATGAAAACTTGCTTTCTTGCCAATGTGTATTTTTGTTAATAAAAAAGTTTTCACTTGACCTGGAGGTGGCAGAAGAAAACAGCGGGAAAACGTGGCTGCCAGCAGCTTCCTGCATTTTTCTGGCCTATCAGAGAGGAGACTAAAGGTCAATGAAGTTGGCTGCAAGGAAAGCAGACATTTTTCTTCATTTGGCTTCATTATGGTGGCTTTGGTGAAATTGTCATTGCGTTTTGGACCAGGAAAGGTAAGTCTTTGAATTTCGTTCAATTATTTTCAATGTTCAGAGAATAACGGAGTATAAAAAGTAAATTAAACGCAGCAATGGTTACATAAAGAGCTATGAATTGCGTGTATTCTTGGCAGGACAGATCCTCGGCAGTGAAAACAATTTGGTCGAAGATTGCACTTGACTGAATCGCAGTTGATCAGCAAAGCTCTTTGTTAAGAAAAGACAAGACTTTATTTTCAATTCACATATATTTATTTACAAAAGTTGACAAAGATATATTTTTTTCTTACTCAGTCAAGTCTTGTGAATTAAACTGAAGTGTCTATCATAGAGATTTTATGATCAGTGCTTGAAATAAGCTGAAACGTAACTCAATATAAGCTTAAGCTTAACTCTATCTACGTATAAATTGTTGTGCACAATGCCTCTGGTAATTTCTAAGCTTAAACAGTTCCCTTGAAAGAAAGCTCATGTAAATATAAAGGAATTTGCATTGAAGGAAAAACTCAGTCAGCAATGCACGACAATCCATCTCCACCTGAATTATTATTATAAGTAGAATTCCACTAGTATACTAATGCAAATGCTGTAATCTGATTGGCTGAGCCATTGAACACTATCAGCCATTAGTGTGCAGTGGCTAGAGGTCGTCTAGGAAATGACGACATTTTTTTGTTCTTCCGAATACAAGTCAATCCGAATGATCTTTTTCAGGTGCAAAGTTTAATAATATGTCAAGAAAATAATTGGAAACTGTTATTTGATGTAAATTTCAGTTAGAATTCTACTCTATTTGCTCTCGATTTCTAATTAATATTCATTATAACGTTGAAAGAGTTGTTGACTCTGAAATTTAAACTATGGATAAGTTTCTGCTTTTGTCTCTAGTTACCATTCTATTGAAAGAAAGCTCTGTTTGTTGCCACAGTTGAAATTATGATGATGTTTGTTCATCGATGTTGATAAATGATTTCACCAGTTTGAATTTAACAAATTGAATGTGGTTTAGTGTGGTCTGTACTCTTATCGACAATGATATGTGTCATCACAGTAGCCAAATGTTGTGGACTCAGGAAGCACAGCTGAGTGAGTCCACAACAAATTTTGACCACTGTGATGATGTGTATCGGTGTTGATAAGAGTACAGACCAAGCTAAACCACATTTCGATTTGTTTTTTACCAGAATATTAACGTCAAAGAAAACGTTTTTTTTTTTCAGAGCATGAGCTGAAAAAGGCATTGTTTGACACATTGATGCAACCAACCCTTGAACACTTGTCAAAAACATTATGAAACGTTCTTGCCAAATTTGCCTTCAAATGAGTGTGAATTTAAGGGAAATACACAGTGGTATAATTTTTTTTACGTAACAACGAGACCTAGTGTCACTGAATTTAATTATCTACCATTGAATTTAAGCCAAAGATTTAACTTGTGTCTACCTGAGTGGCCATTCTTGTTGTGCAATGTTTTAAATCCTGTTGTTTATTAAGACCCTTTTTGAGTAAAGTTAATCTCAAATCAAACTTGTTGTAGTAAATATTTTTGCCTGATCTATGTCTTGTATGGTTTTCCTTTTCAAATGAAGTGTATGCATATCAGTGGCTGAATACATGTAATTGACAATGAATTGATCACAAGGTAGTTATAGCTCTTAATTATTGATCACTGGCATAAATTTAAAATAAATAGTGAATGTACATGATTGTTCCAGTGTTACATTGACCTGTCAAAACACATCATTTTGCATCTCATTTCTGCTCAGTTAATTAATTTCACCTTTATTGCAATAACAGTGATCAACTCTCATGAACTGTTTTGGATTTGGCTGTACATTTTGATAGTAAAGCTGTTATTAGCACCAACTACCAAGAGAAACATTCTAAAATAAACAAAAGCTGTTACCCCACGCAGAGGGTCCACAATAGGGTTCTCAGATCCCGCTTTCCCGCCCATTTTTTCCTGTTAATCCCGCCATCCCGCCCTTTTTTACTTGGGAATCCCCATCCCGCCCACTTTTCAATAACGTTTTTCCGTTAGTTATTAATTTTTTAAATAATAATTAACGCAGAAACTTTACAAAAATAAACATTACAGAAAAGATCATGAAAGGCCTATCTTTATGCAATGGGTAGCAGATAAGTAACCACAAAATATTGTTCACTCCCATCTTCCTAGTCCTGGTTTTTTGGAAGACAGTCAGCTGAATATTTGAAGATGTGTTAGTTCGTGTGTCTGACATTCGATCGGGTGCTAGCTCAATGGGCCCTAATCCTGTTCTTATGTATCATGTTTTTTATTTAGACAGGAAGATTTGGTCCTTATTATCTCCATCCATCGAGTTGTACAAACATGCACAATCAAATTGTTGGAAAGAAAAAGAAAAAAATTAATGTTAATTGAGTATTTTAGCAGAATATTAGCCTGCTATTGAACCGAACAGCACGGCCGAATGTAGACACTCTCCCTAGCAGGAAGTTCGTCTCCCTTTCATTTTCCGCAAAGAAATCGTGCAGAGAATTTCATCTTGTAAAATAAATTATTGCGTAAACAGTCGCCACAAAAAAACTCCCACTCCCGCCTGATGGTCTGTCCCTAAGCTTATGTCGGGAGGAAGAGAGACCCTGGGAACGAGGCTGGATTTGACATAGCAAGTCTCACGTGCCGTCCACGTGCGAAGAATTTGAAACCGGAAATAATTATAAATAATATTTTCATATTAATTCTTCTTTTCGCTCTATGAGGAAAGCATACCCGTCGACACTAACTTTACATGCGATTCAAACGAAAGGTATTTTAAATATTATGCATCTATTTACACATAAACGTTTATGTTAATGAGACCACTTCAGAACGATCATAACAGTCACAGCATAAAGCAGAGAGCATGAAGGTCATGCCTGATCAGACCAGACACACCGAGAATACATCATAATAAAAGGGCCTATGAGGTCTAAAAAGTCAAATGCAGCCAAGGTTTAAAAAATAAACACACCTGACAGTTTCTTTTAAAGCTTTTAGCGTCCTCACTTTCCGTGAAACCTGTGCTCGGAACTTTTCTTTCCGAAGGAAGGCATTCCCGCTTGCACCCTTTTCACAGTAAATGGCGATGCAATATATAATGTCGCATACTTCGTTTCCCGGTTTGTTCGGTAAATTACTGTCACCGCTATCCGGTGTGGCCATACTGGCCACAACAAACCACTTAGTGCTCGTAAAAAGGTCGAAAGACGTCAAAGACTAGAAAAACTAGAAAAGATCAGGACTGACACAGACGCAAATGTCAGAAATGGACAAATGTCATTTATGTCAGAGGCCAACACAAAAGATCACAATAGGACTCAAAGACCTCATACGGTCTGATACATAGGGTAAGCGATAATATTTTAATGGGTACAGAGCCGTTGCTATTCATTACTTGAAACCTGACACAGCTATATGCACAAATTTATTGTTATTGAACTTCCTGTCATGTTCCTTTCATTTGTTTGCCTTATTATTTGGGAATTTTAGGTTTTAAAAGTGAACAGTATTTTTGCATGCTGGGTTTCTCCATATTTTATTCACGGCGACCTCCGTGGTTTGGTTGTTTAGTTTATTCACTTTGTTCAAATATATCTTTTTTAGAGTCTTATTGAGCTACAACAGAACTCCTGAGAAAAGAACTTACGTGGGCACTAATTTAACACAGTTGAAATACAATTTATCTCAAAATAATTGGCCTGCTTTTGTCATGTTTTTGATTTACAACTTTCATCTTTCTTTCGCAGCACTGTAATATTTTGTCACGCGGCGAAGAAATTATCAGATTTCTTGTTTTCAAATTGGTTTATACATGTGTCTGTTGCTTTTATTTTCCGTTGTTTTCTCAAATGTTATCCGTTATGGTAAAAGAATGGAAATTCTGTTTTATTTGGTTTCGTTTTGTACTCTGAAGTCAA